GAGAGAGAGAGAGAGAGAGAGAGAGAGTGGGGAGTTCAGCAGAGGGTTTGATTGTTGATTAGTTGTGGCGATTAACAAAGATGGAAGAAGCAGCAAGGACAATGATTATTAAGGAAGTGGGATACGATTTTCAAAAAGGGGACAGAGGAACTTTTGGGTTTGATATGGATTGGGTAGAGAATGAGAGGAAGGAGAAGGGAAAGGGGGTGGTCCTTCAAACCTTAAGATGCAAAGAGTTGTCACTTCTTTCTGGGTTAGTGGGGAGTAAGCATCAGCATAATAGGATGGTCCACTTTGGGGACAAATTCCACAATCTTCTCTGATCATTCAAATAAGTCATTGGAGCAGAGAGGGATTACTCTGCTTTTTTCTTCCCTGTTTTTGAGATTATGATTGTTTCTTGGGAAAAGAGGAAGAAAATGAGAAGATGACAGGACCCCTACCAATTTTTTCTAGAGTAGGGAAGGAAAAAGTAGAAGAAGAGATATAAATATACGTTTGAAGCTTTATTCAGCTTCTTTAAATATAGGGTTTAAGGGGGGAGGTTAGCAGTCTCCTCTTTTTATCTAGTACCAATACGGAGACTGACCCATTTCCTGCATGCATCGTGCAGAGGGGGAAAACCCCACTTCCATCGGGCTGACAAAGTGAGGAAAAGCCCAGTTTTCCCCCACACATATCATTTTACTGAGAGTGTCAGTGGGACAACCCCTTTGAGTTGTTGCTATCAGCACCGCTGCCCTGCCCTTTTCTTCTACTTCGTCCTGTTTGTGGTTGTGGTATTATTTCTGCCAAGAAATGCCTGCGGTCCCCTCAAGAATCTCGAGGTTTTCTTTCTCCCAAGGTATGGAATTGAAAAACTATCTATTTCTATCCTGTGAATGATATTGTCATCCTATGTGACAGTTATCACCCCACTAGATACAGATACGAATTTTGATTTCCAGTTTGTGTCAACTTTAGTGTAGCCATCGTTTCTTTCTTTTTCAACTTTGTTTCTGGTTTTCATTTGATAGATCTGAAAAAGCAGTGTTTGACATGGATAGGGATACCTTTCTTAGCATTGCATAGACCATCTTAGGCACCATTCACTGTATAACATCATGCTTTCTGGAAAAGAAAAATGTAGTGTTGATGAATCTGCTGTGGAACTACACAAGCTAACTATGAATTCAAAATAAATATGATTATTCGATAATTGTTCTGTGCTGAGACACAGCTAAACACACATCTTAGATGAGAATTATTCAAAATGTTATGAAAGTGACACATCTATCAAACTAACTATTACAGGTATTTTGGTTTGCTGTCTGTTATTCCCTATGAAACATGGCTTCACTAGAATCTCCGAGATTTCTCTGCTAATCAAACAGATTAAATCGGATTATTTCCAAGCAAGAATGAGAGGAAACAAGAAAATTACAAAACACACCACTGATTGAATGCCTGCCAGTGGTGTTTCAAAAGCAAACTTCACAGAATCCCATTTATTTCACCTTAAGTCTTCAAGAGCCACGTTCATCTTTGAGGAGGATCTATTGTTCGAACATTTGCGCCAGTCATGCCTTCAATCCGATCTTTAGTGATCTCCACAAAATGGCCCACTATTTCATGGAACTGTTTCAGTCCTGACAATGGAAGGATGATGGAAGACCGATCAGAACCTGCAACCTGCAATTGTGGGCCATCCAATAATTATATCACCAGGAATCTCAAATTCAGTTTATAAATCTTTACAAGCCAATCCTCTTCAAGCTTACCTCAGATATCCTCAGGAAATGACCTCTGCTGTTGCTCCCAAGATCAAAGAAGAATCTCTTCTGATCAGCTCTTATAACCTTTGAAACCCCCATGTTATTGATTTCATCCTGTGCTGGCAATTCAACTGATCTGTCTACATTCAATTCAGAAGCTGAGACAGGTTGATTGCTATGTCCAGAAATGAAGCCAGCCCCTACATCATCTGAAAGCCCAACAAGACGTTCTGAAGGTTCAGAACTTTGCTGTTTCAACACAATCATAAACACAAAACCGGATTGGGGGGGGGAGGGAAGAATAATAATTAAGTTAGATCACTTGGGAAAGAGAAGCTAAAATGTGCCAACAAAGACATAACGATGTTAGGAGTTTATGCATGTATTGTGTCACCTGATTTGGCAATATGAAAAGCATTGAAGCCTCATTGATCTCTGCTAGAATGTCTCTGAATGCAGCCCACCCTTCATCTCTTGTGCTTCCAGCAGGAACAATAATGGTACTGCGGTTTCTACTGACCGAAGCTTCCGATACCTGCATGTACAAATTTGTTTAAGCAACTTAGCCTTGAAGGACTTTCACCATCTCTTTTGCAATACAAAGAACTTTTGAATTCATGGAAAAACAAGATCACCGACAGAAAGCATTTCAAGCTAGTGAAGACAACTTAATCTTAGATAAAATGTTTCAACTCACAACTTCACACAAGCAGAAAGTGCAGGAATTCTACATTCAGGTATTGCATTTCACACATAGAATTCAGTTATATTTTTCACCCATACAAGTAGTTGAAGCCATACAGTCACCCAAGTGAAAAAATAAATAAATTTCCTTTCCATGATGAAAAAAGAAGAAAATATCTGTCCACTAATACAATATTTTTTTTTCTTACAGACATCTCTGAATTGATAACCTCAACTTGGATATTTTTTGTTGGAATCAACTTGCAAAATTCATCTTGCCTCTAAAAGACAGTCCCACTTTTTGAACTAAAACAAAAACGTTGCAAGGTTTTTACTAAAGCTGCCTAAGAAATTTCTCCTCTTGAACAAGTAAGCACATTCTTGACTCTTATTTAGACACAAATTCAAAAAATAAGGGCCAAAGAGAAGATTAGACAATCAAGCAACATTCTGGCATAAGCAAAGTTCAGAAGGTGTAAATACCATCAATTTCAACAACAGCTTTTGCCATATGGAGGTATCTTTAAATTAGAGAGAGGGAAATTTTCAATCTAAATAAAACTAGACAGACTTATTTTACAAACTCCAAACCCTTTCCTTGTAACTACAGTTGCAGTGAATAAAAACTGGAGAAGTAGGAAAAGTAGTTGCTCAGCCTATCTCATTGACCATAATAAACCTTAGCACCAAACAGAACTAATTCTCTGCCCTGTGAAAATCAGTAAGGTTTCACTATACAATTTAAACTTATCTCATTGCTCCACAGGAAGATTTCCAAGATGGATGATAACAGGTGACAACACAGCAGCAACAATATAAAATTTGCCTTAGAAATGCTTTGCTACTGGTAAAAGCTCTCATCTTTAACGCTCCTGCCCCAGCAATTTAACGTTTTTGAAAGCTTTGCAGGAAAAAATAACACCAAGGCAAGCCGACCCAACTAAGCTAGCCACTGAAGACATTGCGTATCTGGGACAGTTCAATCCAAAGCTAACAAACTACTTAATTTCATTATGAAACAGAAGCAGAACCTATGCCTGGTGTTCTCTATTTTCATGGCGGAGAATGAATCTATACAATCTCAGTAGAGGAAAATCCTAAAAATGCATCCTTGGAAACAGATCACTCACATTATGAAGTTCCAATGTCCCAATTAATCCGTCTTGCACTTGAAATTGAAATGTACCGCAGCTTGAAAATTAACGGACAGTGTAGACTAAGCAAAGAAAGGAGGAATTGTTACCTTTAAGAAGCGACCTCTGCGGTTCTCGCCAATGTCAAAGTAAAAGACCTTGGTATCGAGCTGCAACTCCTTGCTTGAGAGTTCATGGTCATCGGAGCTGACATAGTAATTGAAGAGATCGAGGAACCAGGAGATCCCGGAGAAGGGCACAATGATGGTAGACCTAGTGGCAGAGGTCTTCTCGGAGATTTTTAGATAACGGCCACGTGGGTTCTCCTTCAGATCGAAATAGAACAGTTTGTGCTCCACCTGAAGCGTCTTGCACACAAGCTCAACGTCGTTCCCTCCTCCTCCGCCCCTCTCTCCTCCACCGGAATTCCCCTCCATTTCCTTCCTCAAAATTCACAGTACCCAATTACTCTTCACTGCCCTTTAACTACAGGGACCCACTAACTCCACTAAACACCATAGCTACAATCAGAAACGGAAAAGATACAGAAACCAGTTAGATCTGATAAACAAGAATATAACAATTACATAAACATGGGGAAGAATCAACTAGGGTTTGGGGGTTTGGATGGTAGGAGAAGGCGAAGGAGAAGTAGGAGGGATAATAAGGAGGATTTGACCATATTCATGCTTTTGTATTTTAACGCCCTTTATTGTTTCTTATCAAGTCCTGACCTAAACCCAACACCAAATTTCCGTTTTTTACGCTCCGGTTTGCTTCTTGATGGCATTTACTGCTTCTCTTCAATCCCCCTAGTGCATCAGATTACTTCTTCCCCCAAAAAAGATTTCACCTTTTTCCCCAAAAAAGGTTAAAGATTCCATCTTTTTCATCTACTGTGTTTTGGATTACCCGGGTCTAACTCTAACCCGCCCATGACCCGATTTCTTGAACCCATTCAATCAACTTAACTGCTCAAGCAACTGACCCAACTGCCAAACCGGGATTCATGTCCATTGTAGTAGGGGAACTGGGTTTCTTGTTAAAGAAATGCTGCAGCTTCAAGCATATTCACCAAATTCATGGGTTTATGATTCTCAGAGGTTTGGATGGAGATAATTTCCTTCTTGGCCGATTCATTGATGCTTGTTTTTCTCTGGGTTTTTCGAATTATGGGTATTCTGTCTTTGAAGGGAGGTCACAAGCTGATGTTTATCTTTTCAACACTGTAATCAAGGGGTTATCTAAGGAATCTGCCTCTGAGGCTGTGGTTGTTTATAACAAAATTCGATTGGCTGGATTGCGACCGGACTGTTACTCCTTCCCGTTTGCGTTGAGGGCGGTTATGAGATTGGAGGCGGTTGAATTGGGTAGACAGATTCATTGTCAGAGCTTGTGCAGTGGGTTGGGTTGGAATATTCATGTGGTGACGGCTTTGATTCAAATGTACTCCTCTTGTGAATCTGTTTATGATGCTCGGAAGGTATTTGATCAAGTTAGCTCCAAAGACGTGGCCTGTTGGAATGCAATGGTTGCGGGATATGTAAAAATTGGTCAGGTGGAAAATGCCCGGTTGTTGTTCGATCAGATGCCTGAGAGAAATGTCATTTCTTGGACTTCCATTATTGGAGGGTTAGCTCAGATGAACTGCCCTAGTGAGGCCATAGATATGTTTAGGAGAATGCAGATGGAGAATGTGAATCCTGATGAGGTCGCATTGTCTGCTGTACTTTCTGCTTGTGCTCATCTGGGTGCCCTTGAATTAGGGGAGTGGATTCACAACTATATTGATAAGCATGGAATGGATAAAACCATTCCTCTTAGTAATGCCCTTATAGACATGTATGCAAAGTCTGGAAAGGTGGAAAAGGCATTACAAGTATTTGAGAGTATGAAACATAAAAGTGTTATAACTTGGACTACAATGATCTCTGGACTGGCTTTGCATGGGCTTGGAAGAGAAGCTCTTGAAATATTCTTTCGTATGGAAAGGGCCAAAGTGAAGCCAAATGAGATCACTTTCATTGCCATCCTTTCCGCTTGTAGCCATGTCGGGTTGGTCGAATTGGGTCGATTTTATTTCAACATCATGGAGTCAACGTATGGGATCCAACCCAAGGTTGAGCAGTACGGCTGTATGATTGATTTACTTGGTCGTGCAGGTTACCTCCAAGAAGCACAGGAACTAGTTAGGCAGATGCCTTTTGAGGCAAATGCAGCTATATGGGGATCCCTTCTTGCTGCTTCAAATACTCATCACGATTCTGAGCTTGGAGAGATTGCTTTAAAACATTTGATGAAGTTGGAGCCTTGGCATAGTGGAAACTACTCAATTTTATCTAACATATATGCTGCTACCGGTAGGTGGAAGGAATCTGGAATGATAAGAAAGATGATGAGGGACAAAGGTGTCAAAAAGATTTCAGGTTGGAGTTCCATCGAATCAAAGAATGGGATTCAGGAATTCATTGCCGGGGATATATCCCATCCTCTGTCTGACAGGATACGTGAAGTTCTATGCAAGATGAATGAGCAGTTGAAAGTTGCTGAAGAATGTGCTGAGATTCTTGAGGCTGATGAGTAGGATAGAGTTCCGCCACTTAACATATCCATCTAGTTTTAGACCAACTTTGCTGAAGGAAGATCAACCATTTTCTATCATTTCTTTTGGAAAATTGGGAGCATTAGACCAAATGAGCTCAGCACCATTAGTAAGCAAAGTAATAAGGAAATGGTTATTGGTTACTATTCCCTTGTTTCTTTGGATGCCAACTTTCTAGCTTGTTGGTTTTCCAAGACTCTTTTTAGTACAATGGAGATGAAACCACAGAAAGTTCTCACTTGGTCTGCATAATGTACAAGCATTCCATGTGTATAACATTGCTTAGTTGGGATTAAGGGGATTAAGCTCATTGAGGTTATTTATCAATGTCTCCTCTTCACATCCGTCTCCATATCTCTTTTGTTTAATGACTGCCATTTTCATTAGAGATTATCAAATATGCCTTCTGTTGTCTACCAAAGCCGCTTCAAGGCATTAAAGTGTAGAAGTTACCATCAAATCCCAAGACAAGCAATTTCAATCACAAGTTGTAAATTGTTCTCTTAGTTTCATATTCTCAGTTTTGGTTCAGGCCTTAAAAATTCTTACATTTTTCAAGGGGAAGAGTGGGGAGAAGGGGGAGAAGGGGGAGAAGATTTAATGGCAAAAGCTCCCTGGGACTAACCGTGCAATCCACTTTGGGTGAATCTGCACCTTTTAATGATTTGGAGGGTTATGTGCTCCCCCACCCCAAACCATGAGGTGTATGCAAGTTTTCAAAGAAATTAAATAACCCATCTTTCTCTCAATCTTCTCAGACCATCTTGGGTCACACCCACCCAATAAGGTAACTTGCTACTAAACCTGGTAATAGAATTCATGTCTACAGTACTCTGTAGCAAGGGAGTTTGGTTTCTTCTTAATGAATTGCTGCAGCTTCAAGCACATTTACCTTTTTCATGGTTTCTATGATATTCTCAGAAGCTTGGATCAATATAATCTCCTCCTTGGCAGATTATTGATGTTTATTCTTCAATCTCCATGGTAGTTCGGCCATCATAGCAACAGGCAGGTATTGCCCATACTTTTCCTGCTTTTAGCGCTTCATATGTTGTATAGCTATATTAAATGTCCTTCCTTTTGTATATATAACATAAAAATGGAAA